GGCCGCGCAGCACCTCTAGAACCAGCAAGGACAGCACCAGTACCCTCAGCGGCAGCACCACCGCCAGCAGCACCTCCAGCTCCAACAACGCCAACTCCAGCACCCTCAGAAGCACTAGCGCCAGCAGTACCGACAGCGCCACCACCCCCAGCAGCTCCAGCTCTAGCAGCTCCAGCTCCAGCAGGACCAACTCTAGTGGCCCCAGCACCACCAGGACCGCCAGTACGAGCACCTCCGGGACCAGCAGCAACAGGAGCACCTCCAGCTCCAGCAGCACGTCCCCAACGGCGGGCAAACCACTCGCGCAGCTCCTGTGGAGAGAGCGGCTCCCGCCTCGACGAAGCACCACCGCTGGCCACACGAGGAGACCCAGCGCCCCCAGGCTTCGCACCCCCAGGCTCCGCACCCCCAGACCCAGCACCCCCAGGCTCAGCACCCCCAGACTCAGCACCCCCAGACTCAGCACCCCCAGTCTCAGCACCCCCAGTCTCAGCACCCCCAGACCCGGCACCCGCAGGCTCAGCACCTCTAGCAGCACTAGAGTCAACAGCTACCTCGACAGGCTCGACTGCGTCTACTTGGGACACACCTGACGGGGCAGGAACCTGAGGGGTGAGGGGGTCTACCGGGGGAGGACCTGGCACAAGGAAGAGCGGCGGCGGGAGAAGGGGCGCAGCGCGGTAGGGGAAGAGACGGTAGTAAGGCACCGACTCGTCAAAGGTGACGTCCTGGGAGGACAGAACATGGCGCGAGGTGGGGTGGTAAAACTGCCCCCCAGGCGCGTCAGGGGGGAAGCCAAGGAAGACGCAGGGAACAGCACGGAGGGACAGCTTGTCCGCAGACAAGTCGCGGACAAATGCCCGAGATCCCCAGACCCGAAACGCAGACGCATCGCCAACCTTCCCGGTCCACCGCAAGGCGGGGGAGGTCTCTAGCAAGGAGACCCGGGGCTGAAGGCTGAGCTGATGCGTGGCATACTGAACCGCAAACGGCCACAGAAAATGGGGGGCAGCCGCATGCACCATGGATGTACGAGCGACGTCCATGACCAATCCAATGCGGCGCTCAGCAATCCCATTTTGCTGTGGAGAGGCCGGAAGCGTGAAGGTCTGGCGGATGCCCTGTGCACGACAGAAAGCTCCCAGACGGGCAGAGGAAAACTCCCCGCCTCTGTACGAGCTGGAGATGAGCTGCGCGGATCCAATCGATCAACACCTTAGTGACGTCACCCTTGCTGCGCAAGGGGAAGACTGTGGTGTAACGCGAGTAGTCGTCAAACACCAGCAGGAAGTACCGCTCGCGCCCTTGCCCACTGACGCGGGCGGGGCCCCACACGTCCATGTGGAGAGTCTGCAGCGGAGCCTCTGTCGAAGGAAACTCGGAGGAGTGAGGGGCGGCGCGCTGTCGCCCCTCAACGCAGGGGACGCAGGTAGGGCCAGGCCCCGGAGGTAGGGGAGGGAGAGACCGAGGGAGACCAGAGACAAGGACACGGGAGGCCATGCCTCAGAGACGAGGCAGGGAGGGGTGACCAAGGCGGTGGTGCTAAAGGAGAGTCTGATGGGACAGTAGACGACACGAGCAGGGGGCAGACTCAGAACCAGACCTGGACGCTGCAGCAAACACTTGACTCGACGCAACTACCTGGCCAGACTCAGCAGCCGGAGGAGACTCAGTAGTAAGGGTGTACAGGCTCGACCCTGGCGGACAGTTGAACGTGGCCAAGTGTCGGCCTGTCCGAGCACACGTGCAGTGGGTCACCCGCTGACTCGCAGGAGTGAACTGGTCAACCCCCCTATCCTGTAGGTCCGCTCCACTCACCAAGTTCGTAGAGAACGAGAGGAGGTAGAGACGTGACAGGGTGCCAGAGGGGGCTGCCGGGCACGGTAAGACAGTGGAGAAGCTAGCAAGGACAGGACCCCCAGAGGGGTCCGCCAGGGAGACTGCAACCGGCCTTCTGAGCGGCGTAAGAGTGGTGCGGTCTTGATAGAAGGAGCGGGACGCACCCGAGTCAAGGATGAAGGTGTGTAAGGCCTGAGCCGACGTAGTACCTGAGAGCGCAGACTCACCAGCACCTGGGGCAGCAGACGCACTGGCACTTGGGGTAGCAGACGCACGAGCACCTAGAGCAGCAGCCTCGATGCCCGGGTCAGGCGGTACACACACTTGGTATCAGGAGCCTCTCGCGGGGAGCGACTTCCAACGAGCGACCGTCGACGACGAGACTATGACGTCATCGTTCCGCGGTGCCGACTTGTAGACTTGGAGTCATCGAGCAACATGGACGAGACCATGAACGTTCTCCCCAACGACATGGGCAACACGTTTGCTCAACTCATGCGCCAACTCGAATAGTTGACATTGGAAAATCGTCAGGTACAGGCTGAAATGCAACAGCTTTGTGAATTCGCGTCAATTTCTCATGGTCATGCCGCACCATCTCCTTCACCCAACACGTCGACTGGCGCAGAAGCGCTGCCGAAACGTCGAAGGGCGCTCAAGCCGCAGAAGCCCAAGCCGTTCGACCCAAGCCAACGCGACGCGATCGTGCGGACGTGGATCTTCATGCTCAACAACTACTTCGCCGCGAGCGGGGTGCAAGAGGCGGACGCGCAGCAGCGGATCGAGTATGCCGTTACGCTGCTGAGGGGCCCGGCCTTGGAGTGGTGGCGACAACTCACGCAAACTGCTGTAAGAAGGGCTCAAACAGACGGGCATCAACAGGGCGTGGGGCATGCAGCTGTAGCTTCGAGCTTAGGGAGTTTAGCCTTGGGTGTTACCACGGTTCCGTGTCCGAATCCCAACCACTAGACCATTGGGATAAAAGGGCTTGTTTCAGTAGCGGGTCAGTGCGCCCATAATCCCCCAGGCGAACGCGCCTGTAACCCTCTCCAGGATCAATCGGGTATCCACAGTATAGATCTACTGACACCCCCCCACACTGGGAGGCCCAGGATTAAGCACAGCGACAACGGCCTACATGTGCATACACCGGGGATCGAACCTGAGACCGCTCTGATACCATGTCAGAATCCCAACCACTAGACCATTGGGATAAAAGGGCTTGTTTCAGTAGCGGGTAAGTGCGCCCATAACCCCCCAGGCGAACGCGCCTGTAACCCTCTCCAGGATCAATCGGGCATCCACAGTGCAGATCTACTGACATTCCGACCATATGGGAAGGATTTGAAACAGCGCTGAAGAGTAGGTTTGACTTGGTGAATGCCTCCAAAGCTGCTAGAAAGCGTCTGCGTCATTTCCGACAGATAGGAAACGTCCAGGACTACACACGACGGTTCTTGAGCATCTGCAACAAAATAGACGACATCACGGAAGCAGAGATGCGCGATCGCTACCTCGAAGGGTTGAAGCCGGACATAGCGGAAGTTATAGCTATTCACGGGTTGTCCACCTTCGAGTCAGTTGTTGCAGCCGCAGAACGCGTCGACGCAGTACAAAGCGGACGGGGTCGTGACGATCGCGATAGGGGATACAACAGACCGATCAACGACGCTCGATCGAGGGACGGACCGTCGCCCATGGAGATTGGTGCAGTTAACAGTGACGGCTCAAAGAAGACGGGTTTTAGGGGGAACTGTCACTACTGCAAAAAGCCGGGACACATGAAGCGGGACTGCCCACAGCTTAAGGAGCGGCAGCAGGGAAACGGAGACCGCCAGTAGATAGCGGGTCGCCAGCTGTTGTGGACGCTTCCGAACCCGCCAAGTCTACCGACGTAGAGGAGACAGCTCTGGAGCAGTCATCTACGCCGAACTCGGTAGACGTTGTTGATCGTCCAGTCGTGCTTCTAGGGAAGCTTCGCGGTGTTCCAGTCAAAATTCTCGTAGACAGTGGAGCTAGCCACTCGTTTGTCTCTTCTTCATTAGTTAGTCGTCTCCATCTCGAAGCAGATTCGGCAGTCAACTTCAAGGACGCGCGTATGGTAGATGGGACGCCTCTTCACATAGGACCAGTCATTCGCAAGTTGCGCGTAGTGCTAGGGCCGATCACAATTAGACGTGATTTCGACTCTACGACGCTGGACGATTACGACTTCATCTTCGGTAGGGATTGGCTACGGATGGTTAGTACTTAGTGTCAAACATTATATATATTGTTGTAGTTGTTTAGGCTACAGTGGGTTAGCCTATAAGGGGTACACACTTCTAGGTTTCCATATTTGTACTCATTTCATTCTTAGTCATTTCATTCCTTGTTCAACATGGTATAGAGCAGGTCCTTCCTAGGACCGTTTTTCCTAAGGGCCCACCACTACCTACCTGCCTATCTGCCTACCTGCCCTAGGGCGCCTCGACGTTCACGCCTCTAGAGGCCCTGTAGGCCCCGCGCTGTTGCACCTAGAGGCCCCGAATCGGCCCCGCGCCTAACCCTAACGGCCCGCGTCGGCCCAGAGCTCGTCCCCTAGAGGCCCGCGTCGGCCCCGCGCCTACCCAAGAGGCCCGCGTCGGCCCCGAGCCTACCCCTAGAGGCCCGCGACGGACCCGTCCTTACCCCTAGAGGCCCGCGACGGCCCCGTCCCTACCCCTAGAGGCCCGCAACGGCCCCGATCCTACCCCTAGAGGCCCGCGTCGGCCCCCATCCCTACCCCTAGAGGCCCGCGTCGGCCCCGTCCCTACCCCTAACAGCCCGCGTCGGCCCCGTCCCTACCCCTTACAGCCCGCGTCGGCCCCGTCCCTACCCCTTTCGGACCGCGTCGGCCCCGATCCTACCCCTTTCGGCCCGCGTCGGCCCCGTCCCCAACCCCACCCGCTCCCCGCGCTCCCCTTAGCCGCCTCGAACAGCCCCACCTAGACCGCGCCGCCCGCACCGAACAGCCCGGCCCTAACGGAACCGAACCGCCCGACCCAAGCCGCCCGACCCGAGCCGCGCCGCCCGAACCGAGCCGCAACCCCTACCTATACCGAGCCGCGCCGCCCTACCTGTACCGAGCCGCGCCGCCCTACCTACCTACTGCTCCTACTACTTTTACTACTGCTGCTACCATGGCTAGCCCTCCAGTACTAGCCTTCGATGCTGAGGGGCGCCCATTGAAGTTCGACACCTGGCTTGATGACCTACACCTCTTCCTACAGCTCACTGCCAAGGAAGACATCTCGCTGTACGATCACGCCCTAGGCCACGCTACTGCTCCTGCTGCTACTGCCGACAGCACTGCTCGCTCACAGTGGCAGACTCGTGACGCCCATGCTCGCTTCGCTATCCGCAACTCTCTGCCGATAGATGAGCGCGAGCACTTTGGGCAGCACAAGACTGCACAGGCACTATACACTGCTGTCGTTGCCCGCTACTCCTCACCGGCCTCTGCTGCTCTAGGCCGTCTCTCTCTTCCCTACCTGTTCCCCGACTTAGCTTCCTTTCACACTGTCGCTGACCTCATTACCCACCTCCGCACTAGTGAGGCTCGCTTCCGCGCCGCTATGTCTGATGAGTTCCTCGCCACGGACCCACCCCCGCTCTGGATCACTCTCTACCACCTAGTCACGCGCCTCCCTGACTCGCTGCGCTCAGTCAGGGACCACTTCCTCGCTCGCTGCCCCACCGAGCTCACCATTGCCCTCCTCGAGAAGGAACTCCTTGCAGCCGAGACTAGCATAGTCGCTATAGGTGCCTCTCGCGGTGACCCCCGCACCCCGTTCTTTGAGGGGTGTTCTCCCTCCCCCCTTCTTCCCTCTGTCGCCTCTGCTGCTGCTGTCGACCTCCTTGGTGCTGAGAAGGTCGGGACTGCGTCTGCTTCGGGCGGACGCCGCAACGGCAAGGGCAAGGGGGGCAAGGGCGGTGGTGGTGACAGCGGGGGTGGCGGTGGTGGGGGAGGTGGTGGCGGGGGGAGTGGCGCGGGTGGGGGAGGTGGCAGCAGTGGTGGGGGTGGCGGCAGCGGCGGGGGAGGTGGCCGGGGCGGAGGAGGTAGTAGGGGTGGCGGTGGACGAGGCGGCGGCAGGGGTTGGGGTGGTCGAGGAGGTGGTGGCGGGAGTGGTGGGCGTGGCGGCACTGGCGGTGGCCAGGGACAGCAGTTCACTCCCTCGCCCCAGGAGGTCCGTGAGTGGTACTCTCAGCACGGGGGGGGGGGGGGGGGGGTGGCCTTAGCTGCACGTACGTCATTCGCACTGGTGACCGCACTAGCTAGCCGTGTGGGGGACCGCACGCCACACAGCGTTGCTTCGCTCGTCTGAGCGACGCTTGGCGTGTTCAGTTCCCTCAGGCCACTGAGCTGCCCCGCTGGGTTGATCTCCTGAAGAAGGGGATTGATATCTATGCTCTAGATTTTGATGCTATTCTCTTTGCCATGTATGTGATGTCTACTAGTGGAGAGGGTTCTGAGTACCTGAGTGTCCCGCCCGACCCGGGCATTAGGACGAGTGATTCTGCTGCTCCAGGTACCCACGTGTCTGCTACCCCAGGTGCTGGTGAGGCTGCTGCTCTAGGTGCGTCCGTGTCTGCCCCCCCTGGTACTGTGTCGACTGCAGCACTGCACACCTTCACGCTGGATTCAGGTGCCTCTCGCTGTTTCTTTCGTGACCGCACTGCCCTTGAGCCCCTTGCTCGGCCAGTTGCTGTCTCCCTTGCTGACCCCTCTGGGGGTCCGCTCATTGCGACCTCCTCCACTGTCCTTCCCTGTCCTGCGGTCCCGTCGGGCACACTGTCAGGTCTCCACCTCCCCTCGTTCTCCACGAACTTGGTGGCAGGTTCTGCTCTCCAGGACGGGGGTGTTCACCAGTTCACCCCTACCTACGAGCGTGTGACACACTGCACGTGTGCTCGTACGGGCCGCCACTTGGCTACCTTCACCCGGCAGCCGGGGTCGGACCTGTACACACTGACTACTGCCTCCCCTCATGTCGCTGCGTCTGCGTCTGCGTTTGCGTCTACGTCAGGTCAGCTGTCTGCCCCCTGCTGGTGTCGCTCTCTAGCGCACGAGACTGTCCTCTGGCACCACCGACTTGGCCACCCGTCTGTGCAGCGCCTTCGTGCCATGCACTCCCAGTACCTTGTCTCTGGTCTTCCCAGGGTTCTCCCTCCTCTCCCACCCTCGCCTGCTCCTCCCTACCTTCCCTGTGTCGAGGGGCGGCAGCGCGCCGCTCCTCACTCCTCCTCGTTTCCCCCGACGACTGCTCCTTTGCAGACGCTCCACATGGACGTGTGGGGCCCAGCCCGCGTCCGTGGTCAGGGTCAGGAGAGGTACTTCCTGATCGTTGTTGACGACTACTCGCGCTACGCCACGGTCTTCCCCTTGCGCACAAAGGGTGAGGTCCCGGATGTTTTGATCCCTTGGATCCGCAGAGCTCGTCTCCAGCTCAGCGAGCGTTTCTGCTCGGACTTTCCTGTCCTGCGCTTGCACTCTGACAGAGGTGGTGAGTTCTCCTCCAACCTCTTGGCAACCTACTGTGCTGAGCACGGCATTGAGCAGTCGTTCACGCTTCCGGCCTCTCCACAGCAGAATGGGGTTGCGGAGCGCCGCATTGGCCTGGTCATGGAGGTCGCTCGTACCTCCTTGATCCATGCGGCTGCCCCCCATTTTTTGTGGCCGTTTGCGGTCCGGTACGCTGCGCATCAGCTCAACCTCTGGCCCCGTGTCTCCTTGCCGGAGACCTCGCCCACACTGCTGTGGACGGGGGAGGTTGGCGATGTGTCGCGTTTCCGGGTCTGGGGATCTCGAGCTTTTGTTCGCGATTCGTCTGCGGACAAGCTCTCCTCTCGTGCTGTTCCCTGCGTCTTCCTTGGCTTTGTTCCGGACGCGCCTGGTTGGCAATTTTGCCACGCCACCTCGCGCTGGGTCTTGCCCTCTCAGGACGTCACTTTTGACGAGTCTGTCCCCTACTACCGCCTCTTCCCCTACCGCACTGCCCCGCTCCCACCCCCGCCTCTCTTCCTCACGCCAAGTGCTGCTGTCGTAGACCCCCTCCCCCCTCCGGGTGCCGCTCCCTCAGGTGTGTCTCAGGTAGACCCGGTCGAGCCTGTTGAGGTTGCTGTCGACTCTCGTCCTGCTGGGGGTGCTGAGCCTGGGGGTGCGGACGCTGGGGGTGCTGAGCCTGGGGGTGCGGACACTGGGGGTGCTGGGCCTAGGGCTGCGGACTCTGGGGGTGCTGAGCCTGGGGGTGCGGACTCTGGGGGTGCTGAGCCTGGGGGTGCGGACACTGGGGGTGCTGAGCCTGGGGGTGCTGTGCCTGGGGGTGCTGAGCCTGGGGGTGCGGTGACTGGGGGTGCTAAGCCTGGCGGTGCTGCGCAAGGGGGTCCTACGCCTGGACGAGACCTCTCCTCGGAGCAGTTTCGTGAGTGGTACTTACAGTACTGCAGCCTCCGGAGAGGTACCTCTGGGACCAGGCGCGCTACGGAGACTTGTGCTGGCACTTCTCCTTCTAGTCGGGAGCTCCCCTCTCGTGAGCGGATCCGTGAGTGGTACGAGCGCCGTTGCACACTTCGTAGTGGCGCACCTCGTCTCACGGACCCTGCTGCTGCTGGTGCTGCGGACCCGGGCGTTGGAGCTGCTGCTGGTGCTGCGGACCCGAGCGTTGGAGCTGCTGCTGGTGCTGCGGACCCGGGCGTTGGAGCTGCTGCTGGTGCTCAGGACCCGGGCGTTGGAGCTGCTGCTGGTACTGCGGACCCGGGCGTTGGAGCTGCTGCTGATGCTGCGGACCCGGGCGTTGGAGCTGTTGCTGGTTATGAGGACCCCGGCGTTGGAGCTGCTACTGGTACTGCGGACCCGGGCGTTGGAGCTGCTGCTGGTGCTGAGGACCCGGGCGTTGGAGCTGCTGCTGGTGCTGAGGACCCGGGCGGTGGAGCTGCTACTGGTACTGCGGACCCGGGCGTTGGAGCTGCTGCTGGTGCTGAGGACCCGGGCGTTGGAGCTGCTGCTGGTGCTGAGGACCCTGGTGTTGGAGTCCCTGCTGGTGCTGCGGACTCGGGAGTTGGTACTGCCGCTGGGGGCACTAGTGCTGTCCCTGCTGTGTCTGGAGTCGCCGCGCGCCCTCAGCCGTACTTCGTTCCGCTCCTTCAGCAGGTTCTTGGTCTCTCACCTCCTCCTGGTCCTCCCCCTCCTTTAGTGTGTCCGCAGCCTGTTCAGTCACTGCCTGCTCCTTCTCCTTACTCTGGTCCTACTGACGGTCTTACTGAGCGTCGTGAGCCTGCGTCTCGCCCTGCGTCGCCTGTCCGTCCTGCTAGCACTAGTGCTCGTAGTTCGCGTCCACGTCCTCCTCCTGCCCCTGGCACGCACCGGATGTCTCTGCGTCCTTCCACTGCTCCTCTGCGGGCCCCTTTGCCTTCTCCTCCTGCTTCCTCTCTTCCTGCTCTTGTCGACCCTACATCGAACTCTCTTCGTGCTGCCAGTCCTACTGTCACGCGTCTCCTTGCTACTGCCGTCACTGACCCTTCCTTCGAGTCTTCTGCTGCGTCTGCCCTAGTTGCTGAGCTCGTCGACTTTGCTGCTCGCTGTCGTCTAGACTACGCAGCTAGTCTTGTCGCTGAGTCTGAGTCTGTCTGTCCTCCGTCCCTCGGGGGTGCGTGTGCCCTTGGCACGCACGTCCTTGAGGACAGGCAGGAGGAGTTTCAGAGCTTGGCTGCCGCCTCACCTCATCTCGCGTCTGTACTGCTAGCCCCTGAGGGAGACCCGGATGCACTAGACATCCCGACCCCGCGCTCTTACGCGGAGGCGATAGAGGGTCCCTACTCCTCTCAGTGGCAGGCAGCTATGGATGCAGAGATGGCTTTCTGGAAGTCCACAGGCACCTATGTTGACGCTGTCCCCCCTCCTGGGGCGAATATCGTCAGTGGCATGTGGATCTTCAAGGTGAAGCGGCAGCCGGGTTCTCCGCCTGTCTTCAAGGCGCGTTACATGGCTCGTGGCTTCAGTCAGCGGCAGGGAGTTGATTACTTTCAAACCTTCTCCCCCACCCCGAAGAAGACCACTCTTCGGGTACTCCTGCACGTTGCTGCTCACAGGGACTACGAGCTGCACTCTCTCGACTTCAGCACTGCTTTCTTGCAGGGCAGCCTGCACGAGGAGATCTGGCTACGTCGCCCACCTGGCTTTACTGGGTCTTTCCCTCGTGGTACCAAGTGGAGTCTCCGGCGTCCAGTCTACGGTCTCCGCCAGGCACCACGTGAGTGGCACGACACACTGAGGATTACGCTGGCGGCACTTGGGTTTGCTCCTTCTACTTCCGACCCGTCGCTGTTTCTGCGCACCGACACTTCTCTGCCGCCGTTCTACATCCTCGTGTACGTCGACGACTTGGTCTTTCCCACAGCTGACACTGCTCGACTCGCCTACGTGAAGTCCGAGCTGCAGAAGAGACACACGTGCACTGACGTGGGTAAACTGCGCAGCTACCTTGGCTTGCAGATCACCCGGGACAGAGCACGCCGCACCATTACCCTGACTCAGTCACACATGTTGCAGCAGGTCCTTCAACGCTTCGGCTTCACGTACTCCTCGCCTCAGGCCACTCCTCTGTCTACTCGCCACTCGCTCTCAGCTCTGCCTTTGGATGAGTCCGTAGAGTCGAGTGGCCCGTACCCAGAGCTTGTTGGCTGTCTCATGTACCTGATGACCTGCACACGACCTGACCTTGCATACCCTCGTAGCATTCTTGCGCGCTATGTTGCTCCTGGGAGACACCGACCAGAGCACATGGCTGCAGCGAAGAGGGTGTTGCGCTACTTGTGCAGTACGTCGGGCATGGGACTAGTGCTTGGAGGGCGGAGTCCAGTGGTCCTCACTGGTCACGCGGACGCTTCTTGGGCTGACGACCAGGCTACGCAGCGGTCGTCACAGGGTTACACCTTCAGCCTTGGTTCCGGCTCTGTCTCGTGGCGGGCTACTCGCTCGTCTTCTGTTCTCGGCTCCAGTTGTGAGGCTGAGATCTACGCTGGGGCCATGGCTGCTTAGGATCTTCGCTGGCTCACCTACCTGCTGACCGACCTTGGAGAGCCGCCTCGTTCTCCTCCAGTGCTGTACGTTGACAACAAGGCCATGCTGGCCTTGTGTCGAGAGCAGAGACTGGAGCACAGAACAAAGCACATTGCTCTCCGCTACTTCCTTGCTCGTGAGCTACAGCAGCGTGGTCAGTTGCGACTTGCGTACGTGGCCTCTGAGGCCAACTCTGCTGATGTTTTCACAAAGGCATTTGCGCCTTGTGATCATCAGCGCTGCTGTACCCAGCTGGGTCTTGTGTCTGTCTTGCCTCACTTGCTCTCCTCTTGACCCTCTTTGTACTGTTACATATATATATCACTGCTATTGCTTGTTTAGTCTTATATATATATATGTACTCCTGCATGTGAACTGGCCTTGTGGCCTTGAACTTGTGCTCGGATTGTGTGGTGACATTGTGATCCACCCTGAGCTTGCTTTGCTTTACTTGACTGGTCTTGTGACCCCTAGTTCTCCACCACTTCGCCTATGGGGGTGTGTCAAACATTATATATATTGTTGTAGTTGTATAGGCTACAGTGGGTTAGCCTATAGGGGGTACACACTTCTAGGTTTCCATATTTGTACTCATTTCATTCTTAGTCATTTCATTCCTTGTTCAACACTCAGTTTGATTGGGCTCAGGGAAGCTGTAGCGTCAAGGTAGACGGGGAGTTCTGGGAGCTGCCACAGTGGAGTGATGGGGCCACATCCTCCATAGCCATCATCAATGCTATTTGTGTGTGACAGCTGGTGAAGCGAGCGGCACGGATCTTTGCGGTTTTTGTTGAGGAGGTGGAAGCTGAGGAGGGGAAAGGAGGGAGTGCAGCAGTTGGTGAGAAGGCGACTCTTCCTGCTGAGGTGAGTGCACTATTAGCAGAGTTCGCAGACGTCTTCCCCGACGAGTTGCCCCCAGGGTTACCTCCTAGCCGAGCAGTAGACCATCGAATAGAGTTGGAGACGGGGAGCAGGCCAGTAGCAAAGCCGCAGTGGAGGTTGAGTCCAGCAGAGACAAAGGAGATGACGCAACAGGTTAGGCATTTCCTAGCGCAGGGGTTCATACAGCCATCTAGATCGCCTTGGGCAGCACCGATCCTTTTCGTGCCTAAGAAAGACGGAGGGTTACGGATGTACATAGACTACCGCGCACTGAACGCCGCCACCGTGAAGAATAGATTCCCAGTTCCAAGAGTAGAGGATCTTCTCGATGCAGTGCAGGGCACTAGAGTCTTCTCAAAGATCGACCTCCGTTCGGGTTACCACCAGATTCGCGTAGTTCCAGAGGACCAGCACAAGACGGCATTTCGTACGAAGCAAGGGTTGTACGAGTTTAGGGTTCTACCGTTCGGATTGACCAACGCCCCAGTGACATTTCAGACGCTCATGAACACCGTCCTCTCCGAGTTCCAAGGGTCCTTCGTCGTAGTTTACCTAGACGACATCCTAATATTCTCCAAGACAAAAGAGGAGCACGTGCAGCATTTGCAGAAGGTCTTTGAGGTCTTGCGGAAGGAGCAGCTGTACGCTAAGCAGTCGAAGTGCGAGTTCTTCCTCCCCGAGGTCGAGTTTGTAGGTCATGTCGTATCCGCTAGTGGCATTAGGACCGACCCGAAGAAGATCGCAGCAGTACAGGATTGGGTAGCTCCGACCTCAGTCAAGGAACTGCAGAGCTTTCTCGGATTCGCAAATTACTACCGTGGTTTCGTTCAGAGTTACGCATCAATCGCTAGTCCACTCACCGACCTACTTCGGAAGGGCGTAGATTTTGATTGGGGTCCAGCGCAGCAGCAGGCGTTCGAGCAGATGAAGTAGTCGCTCACGTCTTCACCGACACTATCGTACCCAGATCTCACTCGCCCGTATGTTGTAGTGACCGACGCATCAGATCGGGCCATTGGAGCAGTGCTTCTTCAGGACCAGGGCCGCGGGTTGCAACCGATAGCATACGAGTTGCGTAAGCTTAGGGGAGCGGAGTTGAACTATCTGATTCACGACAAGGAGGCGCTCGCGATTATCCATGCGTATAAGGTGTGGAGGTGCTACCTAGAGGGGGCAGATAGTGTTATACGCACGGACCATTGCTCGCTTCGTTTCCTCAAGTCGCAGCCGCAGCTGAGTCGTTGCCAGGCTAGATGGATGGAGTTCATGGAGGGGAGTTTCCACTACAGGATAGAGTACAAGCCAGGCGTTCGCAACCCAGCAGACCCGCTCACTCGCCCTAGTTGCCAGCTCGCCAGCCTCACAGTCACTGCCGGCCATCCACTTCTCACAGCACTCTTAGAGCACGGTTGCACAGTAGATCCCGACTTCACACCGCACCCGCCCGCAAGAGCAGAGGTGCAGGGTAGTGTCTACAGACGGAAGGGTACCACACGGATTTGGGTTCCAGCATACCGCCCTCTTCGACAGCTCCTTCTCTCAGAGGCGCACGACGTAGTTAGTGCAGGGCACT